AAAAATTCAAAGTAGGAAAAGTACCACTTCTGGTTATCGGAAATCGCTCAAAAGTTGATACGGATCTACGATTTTGATTAAATACTTATATATGAAATTTCATCAACCTAGCTGTAACGGTACTCAAGTTATCGTGTTTACACACGGACAGACAGACACACAGACACACAGACAGACACACAGACATACGGACAAGATTGCAAAATTATGTTTTTCCGTATCAGTGAGGTGTGAAACGTCGAGATTTGTAAAAATCTCGATTTTTTTTTTTTGCACGATTACAAGACTTTCTCTATACTTCGTATATACGAGAAAGTAAAAATGATCTGGTTTATGTCACAAGTGTTGTTAATTCTGGCGTCTCGTATATTCTTTCTGTAATAATCTTCTGTCTTTCCAAAATGTTTCATCAATCTTTCTTTTACTAGGTCATAGTCTTCTTTTTCAGCCTCAGACATACTTGCTATTATGGCAATAGTCTCTCCTGTCAAATTAGTCAATAAAGCCTGTGCCTTACCGGCAGATGAATAGTTAAAACTCTTACATGTTTGCTCAAAGAGTATTAAGTTTCAACACTTTCTTCCTGTGGTTTAAATGCTCTGAATTTAGGCTTCCAATTGTCCGTTTTGTTAACATTGCTTTCTTGAGAATTGTTACTTTTGATTTTGGCTAATTCTAGCTCTTGTCTCTGTTTTTCTCTGTCTTCGGCCTCTATTTTAGCCTTAGCTAGTTCCTTATCAGCCTCTATTTTGGCTATTTCCTTATCAGCCTCTATTTAAAGATTTAGCTAGTTCCCTCTCTAGTTCCTTATCAGCCTCTATTTTAGCTATTTCCTTATCAGCCTCTATTTTAGCTTTAGCTAGTTCCCTCTCTAAAGCTCTGTCTTCCCTTTCAGCTGCTTCAGATATCTTCTTTTCAGCATTTGCTATTTTATTTTCAATCCATTTAGCCTTTTCTGCCCCAGTATATCCTAAAGAATCAGCCAACTCAATCTTTTTGGCATAGTCCTCCATATTAATGGTCCAAGAAAAGTTACTCAATCACCAAAATGTCAACAATATTAAATCTAATCATCTAATCCTTTACTTTACGGTGCGGACCACCGCTCACTTCTGACACCAAAATGTCACGGCCTTTTTGTACTGTCAACTTCATGGCACAAACTCAAGACAAATACCAACCGCATCACTGTTGTGTTATTGCATATTAAGACATGATGGATAACACCAAACAACTATTGTCCTGGTAATTTACACAATTTTATTGATTCAAAGATACAGCAGCTTCATTACCAAACAACGCCATTTCTTTTTCCCGCATCCTCTCTACTTCCACTTTCTTTTGCGCATGCGCCCACCCACAATATATTTTAGATTTATATCGCCTTTTTTACACCTTCACTCGAAACATACATTCACCCTACATTTGACTGTTACAAACCCATTTTGGCGCCCCCTAAGGTCGGCGCCCGTGGACATATGTCCCCCCCCCCCCCCCGCGCTTCGCCTCTGTCCAAGCCACATCAACTCTACAGCCACATGCTGCACACCCAACCACACCAATTCTACAGCCACATGTCTAACATCGCTACAGCTATATAGATATCTGACGCGGACAAAAGGCCGACATCAAAAAGATCGACTGGACATAAGGACGACAGACTATACGGCTGACAACTAAAGGACAGACACCCATAAGGCCGACAAATCATAAGGCCGACAAATCATAGTCTGACTAACAGAAAAATCCTAATATCCCAAAATATGTGTTACTACATAGCTCCTCTCTAGACAAGCATCAAAGAACAAATACAGCAGCCGCCGACATAATAGACGGGACGGTTGTGTGAGGGGCCGATGCTAGTTGCTATCCTAGTTATAAGGTGAACAATCGGGTCCCATGCGACTCGAGATAACGGGCGTGTACAAAAGATAAACAGATAGGTGGCAATACCAGCATATTTCGAGAAAAAATTAAAGAAACCAAATGCAGTAGACCGATCAAATACATTCACCGGACTACATGTTATATACCGATAAAATTAGAAGTACAATCCAGTATCGTATATTGCGAATTACTTTAAACAAATTGATATAATATTTGTTTGATTGTGATACAAGTGTGCCAAAACTAATAATTTATGGCATTACAAAACCGCACTAATTTTTTTTTTAAACTTTTAACAAATCAGTTCTAATGTTCCAACTTGGAGATTCAGCGATGTTCAAGAAAATCTGAAGTACCGTAAACTATTATCATATGAAACTATTGAGTAGAGAACCTTGGACATAAAAATATGTTATATTCCACCCACATCTAAGCCATAAAAATTATACTATGACGGCTAAAGCGTCGAAAGTGAAATAGCATACAATTCATCATACTAGGCTGTATATTTTTTCTATATTTTACTTTAACTGCATCATTATGTAAGTTGTTTTTAATAAATACTAAACATGCCTGTAATTGCGGTTTGTTGTCGGCCTTACTTCCGTGTCGGTCTTTTGTCAATGTCGGTCTTTTGGATATATAGCTACAGCTACACCAATTTGTTAAAAAAAATTTATTCTCCCTAACAATGGGCGACAGCCTAACAACATAAAGAGAGGATAACTCATAAATTGCTGATTTCTTTATAGTTCAGTGTCGTTAAGACGATACAGAATACACGACGATAATTATAATTAATATTTTTTAGCCTAAAAGTAATTTTCCAAAGTACATAAAATAATTTCTTTTTTACCAGAAATATCTTCAAGGACATGGAATCGACAAAAATTTCATTTATGTTAATCTGATCAGAAGATTTTAAAAAATTAATTACTAGGAAATGAAGAAATGAAAAAGAAAAAATATGAATAAAAAACTCATATTAATGTGTGTAAAATTGAGAAGTGATTTCACATTTTTTGACGTGATATACAAACTCGATACAAACTTGAGCCAAACATGGGACAACAAGGATTTAAAAGCCTTTTCATGTTTCCTCTTTTTTCTTTAGGCGGTTAACTTTTTTTTTACATGCAGTCCCATGTTGCACTTACATGAACTGGAACTTTTTGTTTTCAAGATTATCGCAAACATGGGAGGTAATCGATAAAAACAGAGCGTTTAGATATTTACAGAATTACCTTTCTTGAAAAAAAAAAGTTTCTGAATTTACGAGATCTTGAAAGTTTGCGTTGTATGATCTTGCTGCTAGAAAGAGAAGAATTTTAAAATTGGGGTATAATTGCAATTTATGCTGGAACATAATCATCTTAGATTAAATTTATAAAGGATAAATATTTCAATGAAAAATTTGGACTTAAAGCTTGCGTAGTTACATTTTCTACGATTCTATATTTAGCTAACTAGATGTTCATTCTCAGCTGGGTTTTATTTGGAGGTTTTTTTTGTGAAAAATATTTTGATTGCGTTGACATTTTTTTGTGTGCATGTAAATATAGAATCGTTAAGTATAATAAAAAATAAAATACCATATACGTAGCATTTGTATAACTCAGTTCATCCAATTTTTTACAAGCACACTGAAGTGTGTTAAAAAATACATTTAATATCTAGACCGAAAGATTTCGATTCATTTCTACGTTTATTTTTTGTAGTTGCGTCCCTTTCGTGCTTTTAAATTCAAATTTTAAGTAATGTAATTTTGTTATTTTAATAGACAAAAATGTAAGAGTGTAAAAATGTAAAAAAAAAAATGTGAATATGTTAAAATGTGAAAATGAAAATAATGTCAAAATGAAAAATGTAGAACCGTGAAAGTTTGAAACACGAATGCGGTTAAATGTTTAACTGTGAAATTATGATATTTTCTTGAACTTTTTACCGATGAAAAAAAAAACCCTTGAATCATTTAATCACACATATGCATTTTCAGGTTTTTTTAAACAAAATTTTAATTTGACGTTTTTATTAGATCTGCGTATAGTAAACCATCTAAAATGAATGAAAGTAGGCTACAAGTAGGAAAGAAGAATTACTATCGTAAATCTGTGTCAGTCCTCACAAGCCAATGACGAAAACTGTAATACTAAAGCGAACGTGCAAGGCAAACTGACGCTGTAAATTACCTATCTGAGGCGAAAAAAAAGTAAATGAGGGGGTGGACCACAGTTAATATGAGAGATGGACCACAGTTAATTAGTGGGGTGAACCACAGTTAATTAGAGGGGTTGTTGTCAACGGCAATTTCCTTTCGTTTTTAACGGCAAGGGTTGTGTGGAGGTTAACTTTGTCATATTTTTTTTGTATTGAAGAAGTTTTATAAAAGGCTGCACATTCCTCGATTTAAAAATGGATAAATTAGAGAAAAAAATATTTTTTTATCCCAACTTTGTTCTATATTGTGACACTGTCTCTTACTAAAGGATTTTTTTTTCTAAGCCCTTTTTTTTTAAGAAATGCTTCATCAAATTCTTTTAGAGGTATTGACTAAACATCACATTCGTAAAATTGGAAGTCTTTAGAAAAAATTGTTTGATTTTAATCTACTTCTCTCCAGCATTGAGGGCAAAGAGAACTATTTTTAGATTTGAAAAAGCATCGACCGTGTACTGACAGTGACAGAAGCTGACATTGACAAATTGACAATGACAGAGACAAATGTCCTCACCACATAACCCCGGGCATGTCATGCAGTTATTCCTTCACCGGTGGGACCCCCTACCCCGCGAGCGGGACCCCCTCGCGACCCTTTCCCCCGACGGCCGGACCCTCCACTCGCCGGTGGGACACCTCCCCCGGTGGGACCCCCCTCCCCCCCCCCCCCCCCGGGCGGGACCCCCCCTCCCCCGCCGGTGGGTCCCCCTCCCCTAACGACGTGACCCCCTCTCCCCCGCGGGCAGGACCCCCTCCCCTGGCGCTGTCTGTGACAGAGCGATGCCACATCCGCGCGGAGCCCACTCACGTTAGCGCGTGGCTTCCATGAATGGATATGATAATATGACGTAAGTGCCTCGTCTCGTGCTATGGCTAGTTTTCCTAGACCCTCTTTACGTCAATGATATGCAAATTACTATTGGAGTAGTTTTTCTCTCACCAATAACGGTAGCTCATTACGTGTTTTACTTGTAATTAAATTGATGAGCTCAGGGTGAGTACAAAACGCACTTCTTTAAATTGACAACGTGAATTAATTGTTGAGTCTGCATGTGTTGTGTTCATTAAGGATTTTTTACAGTTGTTATCTAAATTGATTATGCAGAATTTAATTTAACAATGAACAATTGCATTTCGCGACACCACCCGATTTTTAAAAACTTGTTAATGTGTAAATTTCGTTCTTCCCAAGAAAGTAAGAAGCTTTACTTTTCGAAAATAAAACTTTTGCTCGTTTTACAGACATTGAATATTGTTATTTTTTGCACAAATTAATCAAACTTATGAGCACACGGGTAGTGTAGTGGTCTAACCGACAGAAAAATGCAATATTTAAAAAAATATATAATAGTAGTTGACATTCTGATGACATTATAACAACCGCCCCCCCCCCCCCCCCACCCCTCCTGTTACTTCTAAACATACGTGTTAGGTCTAAAAAACCTGACTTATTTTGCTCTCACCTACATAGACGGGTATTTTGTAACAAGTTCAAAGTCTAGGAGAGAATTTATTTCGACTCTGCAACCGTGATGTAAAATTAACGACTGTAATTAGCAAATATGTAGCTCTATTCAATTGTATAAAGCTTGAAACAAATTAAAATGTTTGACTTCAATGGCTGGTGTGTATTGGAGAGATCGAAGTATAAGATACAACTATGCTATTCTCTCAGCCTCACCGGCCGTGCATAGCGCTCTGAATGTTTCTTCACTCAGTAGCGCATTGATGTCCCAATAGGTCAATACAATACCAAGTTGATGACCCAACACATTATACCTCAAGAAGCTACTCTCTTACAGCGATAGTCAATAGGGAGGATAAAGTAGAGTTCATCAGTTTCTTGACCTCGATATAAGCAGGGACGGTGTGGTCTCTGATATACCTGACCGCCTCAACATTCCCTAAAAATCAGGTACCCATTAGAGCTGGGTGGACTCGGAGACGTCCTACAGACTCCAGTCCGAGATTCGAACTCGAGTCTTTCGGGTTAGCAGCCTAGCGATCTACCGCTACTGTCTCTTTGAAAAATTTTAAAACATGCTCTACCTAAATGGCACCCCAGACCAAATGAGATTTCATACGACACTTTGCTGGTGTCCTTTCTTAGCAGTCCCACTTCACTACATAACCAGAGTATTTCCCTTAATATAATTTATTACACACCCTGCGTTCACTTATAACCCTGCGCTGACGTCAGGAAAAAAACCTCTTGACGTCCCCCACCAAAACCTCTTGACGTCCCCACCAAAACCTCTTGACGTCCCCCACCAAAACCTAAACCTCTTGACGTCCCCCACCAAAACCTAAACCTCTTGACGTCCGCCACCAAAACCTAAACCTCTTGACGTCCCCCACCAAAACCAAAACCTCTTGACGTCCCCACCAAAACCTCATGACGTCCCCACTAAAACCTCTTGACGTCCCCACCAAAACCTCTTGACGTCCCCACCAAAACCTCATGACGTCCCCACTAAAACCTCTTGACGTCCCCACCAAAACCTCTTGACGTCCCCACCAAAACCTCTTGACGTCAACACCAAAACCTCTTGACGTCCCCACCAAAACCTCTTGACGTCCCCACCAAAACCTCTTGACGTCCCCACCAAAACCTCTTGACGTCAACACCAAAACCTCTTGACGTCCCCACCAAAACCTCTTGACGTCAACACCAAAACCTCTTGACGTCAACACCAAAACCTCTTGACGTCCCCACCAAAACCTCTTGACGTCCCTACCAAAACCTCTTGACGTCAACACCAAAACCTCTTGACGTCCCCACCAAAACCTCTTGACGTCCCCACCAAAACCTCTTGACGTCCCAACCAAAACCTATTGACGTCCCCACCAAAACCTCTTGACGTCCCCACCAAAACCTCTTGACGTCCCCACCAAAACCTCTTGACGTCAACACAAATACGTCTTCCAACAAAACTCCACTCACGTTACTTGAGATTCAAGACGGTCTCAAAACACAAAAGACGGACTTCAAACGGACAAGACAGTCTTGAGACCACGCCCACTCTAAAGAAAAAAATCATCTGAGGTGGCTTGTTGTCTGTTTTTCTTTCCTTGAGAATGAAAGCAGGTCACCTCTTGAAGGTCAAGGTCATTGATTTAAAAAATCCACCCCCTCCTCCCCGATCTGTCCGGCAATGGGATCACCCGTTAATAGAAAATGGATTTTGTTTAAATGTCATGTTCAAGACTTCATTAATTAAGCGAGTAATTAAAACATTGTGTGGAGCATCGCAGCCGCGTTAATTGTCTGGTTGTTAATTAACTGGTCCATTGTAATAGAGGAGTTAATGTGTGGGCGTTAATTAACTTGTCCATTGAAATACAGGGTTAATTGTCTGGTTGTTAATTAACTGACCATTGTAATACAGGGTTAATAGTCTGGTTGTTAATTAACTGGTCCATTGTAATACAGGAGTTAATTTAAGGCGTTAATTAACTTGTCCATTGTAATACAGGGTTAATTGTCTGGTTGTTAATTAACTGGTCCATTGTATAGAGGAGTTAATTTAAGACGTTAATTAACTTGTCCATTGTAATACAGGGTTAATTGTCTGGTTGTTAATTAACTGACCATTGTAATACAGGGTTAATAGTCTGGTTGTTAATTAACTGACCATTGTAATACAGGGTTAATTGTCTGGTTGTTAGGTTATTTATTTTACCTTACCACACGAGTTTTAAAAAACCGGCACTATCGTTCTCTGAAAGAACTTTTAAAACTGCACACTAGTAAGACTTGTGGGATCCTAACAAATAGTTCGTGGGGATTCTATGTCAAGTTCCCTTACAAACCTAACGGTCTATGGGGCAAGTGAAGTAGTGTTCTGAGACACCGACTGAACTATCGTAGAACGCTACATTTTAAAACCTATTGTGCTGAACTTCAATTAAATTCTAACGTGAAAAGAGAATGATGGGATATGAAAGAAATATGAGTGGAGGTTAATGACCTTTGGGGCGGGGATTTAAGACGGGTTTTGATATTTGAGCGCGCGCCTAAGCTCCTCCCACGACGGCTTGAAAGATGGCGATTTAAAAATAGTTTTGGATTTTGTGGGTCAAGGTGCCATTTTGTGGAACTTTAATTTTTTTTTTTAATTTTGGTGGTAGGTCATGTGGGGGTGTGTCTACGTTTTTTTTATTGGAAGCGTAGGGGCGTGTCTAATTTGGCCAATAGGCCGATTAGGGCGTGTTTAAGTTGGTCAATGGGCCGATTGGGGGTGTGTCTAGTTTGATCAATAGGCCGATTGGGGGCGTGTCTACGTGTTGACAAGAATGTGGGGGCGTTTTTAAGTTTTTTTTGTAGGCCATGTGTGGGTGTGTCTAAGTTGGTCAATGGGCCCATTGGAGCGTGTCTATGTTTATTTTTTACAGTGATATGGTGTCTTGTTTTAGTGTGTTTTACAAACCAGTAACAGATGACCTATCCAGCTGCCCCAGCGATAGCCACTGGTCTGATGCTGGTCACAAAGATAGGTCTACTGTGTGATCCAGCGATAGCCACTGGTCTGATGCTGGTCACAAAGATAGGTCTACTGTGTGATCCAGCGATAGCCACTGGTCTGATGCTGGTCACAAAGATAGGTCTACTGTGTGATCCAGCGATAGCCACTGGTCTGATGCTGGTCACAAAGATAGGTCTACTGTGTGATCCAGCGATAGCCACTGGTCTGATGCTGGTCACAAAGATAGGTCTACTGTGTGATCCAGCGATAGCCACTGGTCTGATGCTGGTCACAAAGATAGGTCTACTGTGTGATCCAGCGATAGCCACTGGTCTGATGCTAGTCACAAAGATAGGTCTACTGTGTGACCCAACGATAGCCACTGGTCAGATGCTAGTCACAAAGATAGGTCTACTGTGTGACCCAACGATAGCCACTGGTCAGATGCTAGTCACAAAGATAGGTCTACTGTGTGATCCAGCGATAGCCACTGGTCAGATGCTAGTCACAAAGATAGGTCTACTGTGTGACCCAACGATAGCCACTGGTCAGATGCTAGTCACAAAGATAGGTCTACTGTTCCCAGTATCTCAACAGTATCACGTGCAAGTAGACCCCGAAAAACGCGGGGAGAAAAGTAAAACATACCAGGAGACCCCCACAAAAAAACATGGACGACAGTCTGGTCTATAAATACTTCCCATGGAATCAGCGTATGTAGACGTGTTTGCTGTCTGCACGATGAGCAGGGCAGTCAACTGTATCTGATACTTTCATTAAACTTGTCAATAGTTGATTGGTGGACAAGTGTGTACAAGGGGGGGGGGGGAGAGATTTTACATTGACACCGATATTTTTCATTAGCTTTAATCCTAATGTCGAATTATTTTCAAAATAGAGAGTGCAATCTCATTTTCCTTGCCAGTAGATTTAAAGAAAAAAAATTTGACATTCTAGTAGGGCGAGTCAGTGTGACATTGTCAATGTTTGTAAAACGCTAAAATGTATTTCTAGATGTCTAGAACGCTCGCACCCCTGAACATTGCGTAATATTTGTTTATCCCATCTGTGGCGAAGGCGTCTTGTAACGTCTTGATCAACACGGAAGGAAGCGTTCCACAAACCTCCAAGACATCTTCCTTTCTCCGGTCAGTCTGGCGGATGTTTGCCATCAACGTGTGCTTGACGTGCAATCAATTATGTAAGGGATCTGATGCACTGTGGGGTAGAAGAAGTAGAGTACATGTATACTAAACAATGATAATAATGGTCTGGAATTGTAAAAATGTTTTGGCCATGATTATGAAGAAATTTTTTAAATTTTATGTCAACTAACAGAAAATGGCAATTTGTGTTAAAATAGAATATCTAAAGTGGCTGGGGCAGCCATCTTTTATGATGTTTTGTGATTTCATGATGTTTTGTGATTTCATGATGCTTTGTGATTTCATGCTTTGTGATGTTTTGCAATTCCCCGATGTTTAGGGATGTGCACTTTTCTGCAGTCAAACAATCACACATTATGGCC